GAATTAAATGAACAATTCAGTGTTATTCAAGATTAGACATAGAGTACCTTAGTACTGTACCGAGTGTGCTAGACAACTTTTATATAACAAGATTTTTATATTTAAACTTATAACTTATATGAGACACCGTATATAAGTTTATGTAATTTTTATTAATTTGCATTATTTGAGTGCACAAATGATAGCAGAATGATTGTAGTGAATCTATTTTTGAAATGTAATTTAAAATTAAAATATTATCAAATTGTCACCAGGTTGTAATTGTAATTTAGGTTTAGTTATACTATTTTTTGATAATTTTTTATTGTATAAAGTATGATAATAGGGAAAAATTGACTAACAATTTGACAGTTGGTATAATAGTTCTGTAATTTAAGTTTTTATGACTTTTTTAGGGTATAAAAGGATAATAAGTTGCAATCAATTCTTTAAGGAATAGAAATTTTGATATCATTTGAAAAAGTATATAAACGGACAAATGAATCGCTTTCAACAGTCTAACCAAAACTACTATCAAATAGATTGTGAGTTAAATGCACTTTCAATGACATGAATAGGCATTGAATGAATATTCATAATTCATGTATTCATAACTCTCAGACATATTCTGGTGTTCAGACTGTGTTCATGAACAGTACTGGCAGTACAGTAGTGTTTCATCAGATGATTGGTTCAGTCAATGCATTGAATGCATGGTTTGAATCTCGCGCTCGTTTATATGATTAGTCATTGAGAAGGAGTCCATAAAAGACAATAAGTTTGAGATCTGTTTGGTTTGAATTGACTGAAGACTCAATCAACACAACCTCCACACCACTCAACCACCAATTGTCTCATCGGATCCACTTGTAGTGACAGCAATGGACACATCGGTCACGTGTGACCCCACGCAGACTGACGCCATGGAGCAGTTCTGCAGCATTACTGGTATAAGACATATGACATGTTTGTGTGGAGTGAGACAATTGATGGCTCATTGTGTCGGATGTGATGACAGGTGCGGACGAGTCGATGGCCCGAACAGCGTTGGAGTCTTGCAACTGGAACCTCGAGTTAGCCGTCAATATGTTTGTGGACCAAAATGACGGCCAAATGGACACAAACACCACAAACCACACGAACGCCTCCACCGCTAATCACACGAATAGATTTGATGCCAATTCAGAGTATGTATTGGTTTTGAGTAATGGTTTCCACAATG